ATCTCCCCAAAACCCCAAAACCCCAAAACCCCTTAGAGTAAGACTAAGACTGAAAAAGCTTAAGATCAAGATCTTAGTGAAATAAATTCTATATCTTTGATTTCTTTGGTTTAGCTGAAGTCTTTTGCTCCATGTATTCATTGAGGAACTCTTTATCTATCTCATAAGATAGCTTCATTTCATCTCCAAACTTTCTGAAATATTGAGTGTTGATGAAATCAATGAAGACTTTCATGTCTCCATCGATCAATCTTGGAACTCTGTGGCCCTTGTGATGCTTGATCAGCGTTGACTCTCCTTTGGTGCAGTAGTCTAGTGCAAATCCTTCATTATAAGTATCATTCTCATCAAATATATTCAAAACCTAAAATATGTAAAATAAAATTTACCGGTATAGAGAAATTATATGTGATTTCATCTTTGTGTGGGAAGGTCTTTGGCAGCCTAGCTGCTGCAAGAATCATGAATTTGAATGGATGAGTCAATGTGCTGAAGCCAATATCTTTCCCCTTCACCAGACACCTTGCAAACATGCTATAGGATAAATCAGAAGATCGATCAAAATTTGGTTTGTAAGTTCAATATAAATTTTTAATAAGATTTATCAGTAATTTCAAAGAGGTGACGTAAATTTTTGCATTTCCAAAATTATAAAAAGTGGTTTGCAATGACGTACCAAGCTTGTGAAAATGCAAAGATTCCATCATAAGGTCCATTTTCCTCTATATATTTATAAAGAATCTCATAAGATTCCTCAAAAGACTCCTTCTCTTGACCGGTCCCAAGCTTTCTCATATCAAACCACCCATAAAACGGTCCTTGAAACATTTTCGCAACAATTGGATCCACAACAATATCCTCTGAAATCCGAACCGGCCCATTTACATATTCAAACTGCACAAAATCTCCAAAAATACGTCGATAATAATCAATCTGGACCTTCATCACATCAACATTACTATAAAACCCATGCAGGCACAAAACCCTCAATTTCCTCTGCTCTTCCATTCAGTCCCAATAATTCACCTAAAATTTCAACTTATTTCTAAACCCCTGGGGTTTTGGGGTTTTGGGGTTTTGGGGTTTTGGGG